GTTGCTGCCTCCTTCCCAAGAGTGCCGCTCTCCGTGTTCGTGGGGTGAAACAGCGCAGGAAGGGGAATGCTCGTCGGAAACGTCAGGTTTCTATTTAGGGATCCAAATTGGCTGCTTTGCTGTTGACTGAAGTGGCCATCCCTGAGCCTCTGCCATTTAAGTGCTCTCTTTAATTACTCTCTGTCATCAGCTCTGGGCACTCCGGACAGTCTGTGCTTCTCACTGATGAAGTTGCCTTAATTTTTCTGTGTGAGGCATCTTTGGTGGTGGTCGATAAGGGCTTCAGCTTGAGGGACAAAACAAACCAACAAGGGACAGAAGTGAAGCATCCCAAGTCAAAGACAGTTTTTGAGCAGGGTGAGATGGGTGATTTGAGGTGCTGCTCAGGGCATTCTTGCTCTCCTCGCTTACTGAACTAGCCAAACTTCTCCTCATTTCTCCTCTTTTTGAGAAGAGGAACTGTGATCAAATTTCTACATCTGTGTATTTTACAGATATTTGAAAATCCAAGGTAAGTTCGTGCCAGCAATGCAAAATCCCTTGTAGCCTTTGGTGATTTATCACAGTGGTGTCTTAGCTTCAGCTGCTAGAAAGGCTTTACTCGAACATGAGCACAAAGCCCCAGGCGAAGAACCCCCTTGTTCCCTCCTTCTGGAACAGGGGTTTTACAGAAATGGGGAGCACGGCGCTTTCCCAGCCAGCTCCTTACTCCTTATTTGCCACACAGGTCAGCACCGTGGCCCTTTCCAGCTGGAGAAAACCTAGGAGAAGCCCCATGACTGCATTTAGGCAGAGCTCCTGGAGTCCTTATCTCCTCCTCAGCGTCCTTATCTCTGCAGACGTCGTTTCCATGCGCGCGGCTGCGGGGAGATGTCGCCGGGCCGTGGTGAATTGCCTAGAAGGCGACACGGCCTCGCTCCCCGTGTTAACGGGCTGTCTGCGGCCTCGGCACTTGTGCGGGGACCGCGGGGGACCCGGGAAACACGGGTGGAACGAATTGGAGCTTTGTCACCTATTCTTTAGCAGCACATGCCAAGCTCACCCTCCTCCTCGGGCACTGCAGCTTCAAATGCTGCTTTTCTCCTTCCATGACGAGCTGCTTTCACTCGATTCTTACCTCTTTCTCATTATTGTGTTGGATGTAGCACGGGGCTAATTATTAATGTGATTTCTTCACATGGAAATTTTATAAGGCCTAATGAGAGAAATGGGGAGCTTAGAGCTTAAATGAAAGCTAAAAATAGTTCCAGTGTTAAATGTGTCGGGTAGTGCAGAAGCTTTCCTAGGATACTATGCTGTTATTTGAACATCCGACCGCTTGCTAAGCTTTGTGGAGTCTTGGAATTGTCCTGGAATAATGTACAACACGGTAGTGTGATAATTTAACCACTCTTTCCATGAGGAAAAGTGAGGAATGCTGGAGGCAACGCTGCGGCAAGGAACGTCGGGAGCTGCACAGAGACCCCAGATCCTGGGGAACAGCCGCTCTCATCCGCACGGTGCCTCGGGTTCCGTCAGGAATGACCCGGCCCTCATGGAGCTGAAGCTTTTGGAGGGAGCGAGGGCCAAACCTGAGTTTTCAGGGAGAAAAACAACGTGCTGCTCCTTAGCTCTGCCCTCCATATGGATTCGGTTGCTTTGACTGAAACTTTTCCTGGTAAGAATCTAAAATAGAATGTGAATTCCTGACCAGCTGGTGGAATTTTGCTAAAATTATAAGCAAGTGAAAGCAAAGTCTTCATAATGGATATATCAAGATGCTTCCTGCTATTTAGTTGTATCTAATAAGCTATAAATACGTTTTTCCCTAAACTAAAGTAGCAGAATGAAAGGCTTCTGATAAAGCTGATTCTTCCCATACCTCTTATATCCCACTGGTATTTGCAGAAGGATCTGCACAGAAATATCTCTAAAAATCCTCTGGAGTCACTTAAAGGCACTTTAATTGCTGATGGAGGCTTCCATTTCAGGCTCTGTATTGACGCAAGATTGCAGTTACAAAGTTTAAAGCATCATTTTCTCAGGGGTTGTGCAGAGTAACATTCGTTTTGCAAAACTGAGCTTTTTCAGTTTCCATATTGAACTTGATGAGCTTGATAAAATACAAAACGCAGTATTCTTCAATATAAAATATGCTCGGTGCCTAGCTTGCAAAATGAGCAATTGGGCGCTGCGATAAAGCGAGTTGTTGTATGATATTTCAACCATTATCTTCAGTATTTCTCTGTTTCTCTTGGTTATGTCTTTTATGCCGATATAAAAAAATTGCTCCCCCATTGCTTAGATTTGATTATAGTAGTATAAGAAAATGTTTCATTTCTTCCTAGGTGGATGGAAATTTTCTGGTGGATTTTCAGCAGCAAGTGTGATCTCTGCTGATAGAGCTTGATATGCTTTTATGTTGCAGTAGCTGCCTGTGGCCATAAATCTGGTACCCAGATTTTCCTGCACTGTTAACTGGTAATAGGCAAGTACTTTTGTGCATTATTAAACCTTTTTTATCACTAGCTGATTTAATGTTCAGTTTATGTCACTAGTTGAGCACAACCAATTATCAGTAAAATTGGGTTAAGTCCTGACATTCCTGGTTTTTTAGGTGATTCATTCCACACTTTTCTCTTTTGCTCCATTAGCTAGATCATGCCTTTTGGTAACTGCAGGTACAAGTCTCATACACCAAATATTGGTGTCTTTTAAGCATGGCCACATCAAAGTCATAATTATTGTTTGCCTTCTCTCCTGCCAGAAATAATCCATGTCTGTGTGTTCTTCAGAATTTCTGAAATCGTCACCTTTAAATTATGTTCTTTATTTGTTAAAACTAACAGAAGCATTGCAAAATTACTGCTTTGTGTGTGGGTAATTTTCAGTTTAATTTACCTACTAATCTTAATTCTTTTCCTAAAAGGGACGTGAATAATAATTGGCTTCCTGGCATAATTAAGATGCAGAATTTGTGTCTGTGCATATGCAATTTAAGTGCTAATGCGTTTCCGTTTATGAGGGTAATAACTCCTTTTACCCTCATTATTCTTAATGTATTTGCTAAGCATTGGGGTATTTTTGTTGCTGCGTGTGCAAGAAGGTCCAGCCAGGATGGATATTGCGGATGCAGCACTGATGCCCTTGGCCCCTCCGGGAGCGTCGCCATGGGGTCGCAGGGACATCTGGGGACTGTCGGTCCCAGCCCCTGATCCCGGCAGGTCGTGGAGGAGGATTTGGGGGCAGAGCGGATGGGAACCGCGATCCCGCGGCGCGGGGAGGCCCGCGCATGCTGCCGAGGTGGAGGCTGCTCTCGGAGCAGCGCTTGTCCGTGAGAGCGCTCCGAAGGGCAGGAGACGGGAGCGGGATTTCAGGGAGTGCCTGCAGCTCCTGAGTTTG